GAGAGGACGGAGTAGTGAGACGGCAATGGACGGAGTACTCTGTAAGTAACAATAACTATGCGGTAAACGTGTCCTTATCTATGTAGTAAAGCCACTACTCTAGCAGACCCGCAGCAACGGTTTCCCCTGAAGACCGCAGAACTATCCGCGCCGGAGCTTCGAGCGGAATAGACTGCTCCAGGTCTACCACCACCCTAGCGACATTGCCCGGAGCCACAATCTTCGGTTTCCGCTTCGTTGGCTTGCCTGACCCTTTGTCCAAAGTAGCTACCAGCTGCGTAATCCGACCAGGGACATGCAGCCGGCCGCGGTGCACGTCAATATGCATTGGTGTCAGATGGTTAAAAGCAAGCACTTTTGCGGTGAAGCTGGTGATGTTCTGAGCCGGCGAAGCGGCGCTGCAGACGATATCACCAATTCGGAGGTGTTTGGCGTCGATGTTAGCTAAATGGAGGACCACATTCTGACCTGCAACCGCCCAATCCACTGGCTCATGATCGACTTCCAAACTCTTGACAACTCCTTTCTCACCGCTGGGCATGACCAAAAACTGATCGCCCATCTGGAGATGGCCAGCGTCAAGCCGCCCAGATATAGACAGGGGATTCTGGATACCTCCCCGGAATATATCTCCTATCGTCATCCGTAGAGGCTTGTCGAGCGCATATGAGAATGGCTCCGAAGTCTCTAGTTCTTCAATAAGTGTCTTGCCAGTGTACCAGCCAGCCTTTTTATCCTCACATCTCCGCGCTATGTTATCTCCCTGAAGGCCAGAGCAAGGAACAAACGAGATATTCTTCGCCTGGAAGCCAGCTGTGACCAGGAAGGCGGATATCTGCTGTTCAATCTCATCGAACCTGTCCTTATTCCATTCTACGATATCCATCTTATTAACCGCAATGACCATCTTCTGCACACCCATGCTCCGAACCAGCAAAGCGTGTTCTTTAGTCTGTCCCTTCAGTCCAGATTCAAACTTGCCGGTGCTGGCATCCACGACCAAGACGGCAAAGTCAGCTTGGCTCGCGCCAGCAATCATGTTGGGCACAAAGTCTCGATGTCCCGGCGCATCCAATATTGTAAATTTGGTATCTTTTGTTTCAAAGTTATTTGAAGCAATGTCGATTGTGACGCCCCGAGCCCGCTCTTCTGCGCCCTGGTCAAGAACCCATGCAAACGCAAACGATCCTTTTCCGATCTTATCGGCTTCTCGTTGGTATTTATCAACTGTTCGCTGGTCGACCGCTTTAAGGTCGTAGAGCAATCTTCCCATAAGTGTACTTTTCCCGGCGTCAACATGGCCTATAATATGGTTGTTAGTGGGACACCTATTTGGCAGCCAATTCAATGCAACAAACCAATAACAACAAAATTCACTGCTTTCTTCCTCTTTGCTTTTCGATGTTCTTCTAATACATCTAAGTTTTTGCTTTTCACCTTCACAGGTTCAACTGATAGCTGCTGCACACCACCAGCCAAGTCCGTTTGAGCTTTTCCAGCTGCCTGCTGGTTGGCATTTCGTTTTGCTTTCTTCTCTGTAAACACCAACCCTAGTTAGTTACCCTGCGAAGCCCTTACCTTAGATGGGATCTAACAAACCTTTAGCAGCGTTCTGGGCATTGATAACAACATCATCGGGGCTCGGTTCTGCAAAATTGTAAACTTCAGTGAGATCCTGCACGACGAAATCAAACAGATTGTATGCACGAGGTGAGACGCTGGAAGCAGGTTCCCCTAATTTGCTCCTCTCGCCGATTATTATTGCTGCAAAGTCAGACGGGCCTGCCGCAAGCTTTTCCTCGGATTTCGATACATCAGCTTCTCTGCTAGCATGTTCTTGCTGAGTCTCTTTTGATGCAAGCCGTTGGCCGATGTTTGCGCCATCTCCAATCGCCTGTGGCTGTTCATTCTTGGGAGACCGACTCAGACCCCTCAGCGGTGTCGATGACCTGGAACTAGAAGGCGCGGGTGTCCTGCTTTTCCCACCACCAGCCAACCTATCCCGTAGCGAGAGAGGTTTATTCGTTTCCTCTGCTGACCCTCCTGTCTCTGCTTGTTCCTGGGCTTTCTGTCTTTCCGCTTCCTTTTTCTTGCGTGCAGCAGCTAGAGCGGCCAACTTTGACATCTTCCCTGGTTGCTCGGAGGAGGGAGATCCCCCTAATAATCCCAGTCTAGGATACAGTGGTTCGATCAAGATATCCGCTTGCCGATGCGGCGGGATATTTAACCACGGGGAGTCTTTGAAGAAGTCACGCACAGAAAAGTGGCTCGAGTAAGGCAGTGGTAAAGTTGACACTGGCGAATCTGTAACTAGACGAGTAGAAAGTCAACAAATTAGCAATAGCTTGAGTGATTTATTGATATAAGTAACGTGTCCGGATAGGCGTTTAAAGCCACGCTGAGATGAGTGTAATTGAAATGGTGACGCACCGTAGAGCAGGATATGCACCGATATCTGAGGGGACCTCCCCAGCGTCCAAAAAGGATTTCAAATGAGGAAAGACGAAAGAAAACAAACTCACCAGCTGTATTCTTTTTTTTTGTTGCAGCAGTGGACGCTTTTGCTTTCGTTTCCTTCTTTTCCTGCGATCTATATTTCTCTACACAGAGTGGTAGTATCAGCGTCTACTATAGTAACTAGCCGAAGTAGCGAAGACACAAGTCATACTGGTCAAGTAGTCGACAGATTTATCCACGTCATAGTAATAATGCCATAGAGTCTCCCATATGTCGTCTTCTTTGGCTTCTATGGCCGGTATCTGTGAGCGTAGCAGCTGTTGCACCTCTATTGTCGCGAGCCTCATCTGCTCGCGGTCTTCGGGAGAAAGCTCATCGTCATTATCGTCGATTTCGTCGTCCAGGTCGTCATCGTCATAACTGATATTCTTCACTCTATGGCGCGACATATTGCGTACTTGTTTCTCATCAACGACAGTCGCTGAAGTTGATGCCTTGTATTTGGTCGTTCAACGGGAGTTTGGCGGGGTCGAAGGAGGCAACGTTCGGTGTTACTCGTGGGGTCAGCCAATTAGTTTAATACGGACTATGGGAGCTACAACGTCCAACAGGCACTGCAGAGAACATGTCGGAGAATTGCGAAATGATATCTACAGGGATGCAAAGATATACGCTGCTTATCCCTCTATTCTCAGAGAAATTGGGATACGAAAATTGCCGGTGGCTGTTCAGTACGCGGATCTGGTAGTTACCGGTACACCCCCCTTTTTTTAATCTGCAACAGGGTGTGCAAAGAGATAGAAAGCCACCACCACGGCTGAAGATGACATACGTAAGGAAGAAGGACGGTAATATGTCTCAAGAACCTGGTCAATTGTATACCCACACTCCTCTGGCCTGGTTTTTGATATGGAAAAAGAGCCATCTAATCGATCACTGAGCCCATCAGTCATAGGCGGAGAGTTCCTTGCAAAAAAAAATGTGAATGAAAGCAAATAAATAATAGCAAGAAACACATAGCCGGGAGAAAGATAAAAGAAGAAAACAGTCCCATAAACTAAAGAATTCTAAAAGGTGAGCTCTTGACAAGTGTAATTCAAGCCTCAAGGGAGAATGTGTTGAAGTAATTAAGACCAAGAGAAAAAGGGGTCATAGATCCGGCAAGGTGATTGATCATAAGTGGTCTTTAATAGTAATAGATCATGTCGTTTATTGCTTCTTAAGAGACAGACTGGAATTATATTTCGTCTATGCCTGCTGCTGTGCTTGCTGGGTGGCCATGTACTGGTAGACACCGTAGGCGAGGGCAGCACCGACCAAGAGGACTGCGTAGAGGCCGATTCCAAGGCCAGTAGAGTCGCTTGAGCTAGTGGATGTGGCGGTGGTTGTAGGAGCGGCGGCTGGGGCAGGGTCACCAGGCTGCGAGAGAGAGAAAAGTCAGCAGAATAATTCCCCCGATATGCGGAGAAGAGAAGAAATCGGAGCATTAGAAGAGCATACCAGGCGCTTGAGGGTGCCGACTTTGAGTCCCTCGAGGATCTCACGGGCCTCGTCGCTGTGTCCGACGTCCTCGAAGGCCTCTGTAGAGTCTTGACCGGCAACATCAAGCAGGACTTCCTCACCACCGCTAAATTGAACAGATAAGCAGGTTAGCCGCCTGATTCCAGGTACGTGCATGTCTGATGCGGCGGAATATAGACACAGGTGTCTCAATGATCCGTGGCACGGAAGAGAGGAGCAGGGGGAGATATCGGGTCAGACGTACGGGTGCTCGTCGATGAAAGAGGAGCAGTCGTAGACCTTCTCATGGATCACGACGTAGAGATCCTTCTTGGTGCTGTGGGCAGCGACCTCCTTGAGGGTGAATTCCTTATCGGCAGACATGATGGCGGCTGGTGAGGGAGTATATCGATTGCGACGGCGCTGGTGAGGTGTTGGAAGAGGCGATCTGGACTGTAGCCGGCTGGAGGATGGTGGTTGGCAAGTTCAAAGGGCGAACGAGGTCACGAATGCTTTGTCGGGCCTGAATTAATAGTTGAATTAAATAAAGTATTATTATTTTTTTTTATTGTTGAACTCAAAGAGCGGGCGCCAAGCACTGGAGGGCCTGATCGACGATTAACGCTGCGGATATTACTCAGGCTACAGACTACAGGATAGTTTGACAGGACGTAGATACTCCTATTACAGTGAATATCAAGGCCGTGGACTGCTGGATATCCCAACCGTTCTTCTTCTCCATCGTCGTCGTCGCCGTCGTCCTCGTCGTCGTTTTCGCGGCAAAGAAAAGAGAAGCCGAGGTGACCTGATCTTTGCCGGCCAATCAGAACCCGCTGATTCATGCGCAGGAAGAAAGCTACTCCGAATTTTATTAGTAAGCATGAACTTAATTAGTCATGCATGTGATAGGGGTTGGAGAAGGAGGCATACACCAGAGCACATTCATCTTACATTTGTTAAGTGTCTAAGTCTACCTGATATCTATAAAAATATTTATGATGTGCATTCCTATCAGAAACTCCAGACGCCTGTTCCATGCCCGTTTATATCCCTTTTGAGAACTTGATTTCCAGCAACCTATCCACTGGAACATTCAGGTGATCTAGCTTCGTCTTCTCGCGGTTCTTCAGGTGGATGAACGCCCATAGAAATACTCGCCGGATCAGGTTGGACGTTGGGAGGAGGTAGAGTTTGTCCTTCCCAACTATATATGTGATAGATTTTGTGGAGGGTCTCTTGGTGGTAAGTGGTATGGCGGTGGATGACTCTTCGCCAAGATCAGCTGTGGGAGACTCTGGCTCCAGATCATCCCGACATGCCGGAGTGATGGTTCCTAGTTCACTTAGGATGTCTCTTTCAAAGGAGTTCCAGGACACGGTGTCTCCGTAGCCATATTGCAGGGTGACATGAAACAGCCCCTGAATTCCTGTTTGTCGTAATGTGAATCGGCGCTCGTCGGCTACCTACAGGACATGGGTCAGACACGCAGACAACCAAAGTGGGCAGCCATGCTACTAACAGTATATTTCAGAACACGTTTAACATGAAGAAGGATAGATATTTCGTGTATCGACTCAAACTTGTGGACAAAATGCTTGAACACCGAAGGTGACCCGGCATCATGGTCCGTCAGAAACACTCCAATCCCTACGTCGAAATTAGCACTTCGCATAGATATTCTGTGTATGCATATATTACCCACCTTTTATTTTCTTTACTGGTTGATCCACACCCTCGTCACGCAGTATCAACTGGCCATTCTGGTTTGGATACACCACGGCTTGAGATATCCTCTCATCCTTCCGTGCAGCCCACTTTGATCCTTCTCCATAGCTCCATACAAGCAGGGTTGTCGTTAGCACTGCAGCTAAAACAAGTGTAAACCATCCACCGGAAGGCACCTTAGCCAGAGCGGCAGATAGGAACAAGGTATCAACCAGTCCAATGAATAGTGATATGGGGATCACAATCAGGTAGTGAACATTCCAGACAACAATAGCAAGTAATGTCACCAGCCAGGTTGTGATGAAGCTTACTCCAACCACGCAGACACCATAGGCATTTCCAAGACGAGTTGTCTACTAAAGTCAGTTACGAAGAATATGACCTCCATGAACTGTAGGATACGTACATTTTGGTACACTATGGTAACAGCAAGTGCGCAGGCCATCATAAACCAGTTTGCCAGGGGTATATATATCTGGCTGGTTATCCTCTTTGATGTATGCACACGGGTAAGTTTAGGAAGATACCCCAGCCGAACAGCTTGGGATATCAACTGAAAGCTGCCAGTAAGCATAGCCTGAGATGCAATGATTGAGGTAATCATGGAAAGTACAAGGGTGGGCCAGTATAGGCCTGGTGGGACGGCCTTGAATAACGGATTCTCGAATGCGTCTAGGTGCTCGCTGATATACGCAGCTTGGCCACTGTATATAGTCAACAAGCACGGTAGTGCAAAACAAAGCCACGAGAACCGGATAGCTCTGCAAATGTACCAATTAGCGTTACTGTGTACAAATGGGTTGAATATGGGGGCTCACTTTGCAGAGAATGCGCCTAGGTCAGCAAACAAGGCTTCAACACCTGCAAAGTAATATAATTAGCCTGAACTTTTAATGCTGGGACAAGGTAACCAACCTGTAAAAGAAAGGAGAACGCCGCCAAGTGATCTCCAGCCTGAAAGCCCATTCCGAAGCAAGAAAGAAACAGCGTAGGTTGGAGAAAATGCTTTTAGAACGGTGTGGTCATACAACACCAGGTTCTATGCCCAGTTAGTCTCAAAGTTCCATATGCGGAATTAAAGAGGGATACGGACAAATAGGCCAAATGATGTATTGCACAATAACCAAATTGTAACAATAGGAGCAAAATAGTTGCTTAGTTTTGATGTTCCGATTGGCTGTAGTGCAAATAGTATGACTATCAGAGCACATGTGATGCCAACGATAGTATGGGACGGGATATCCGGTGCAGCAATCTGAATACCTATAAGTATGTCAGTTGGAGGGAATGAACACAGCCATTGCTGGAAAGGTACCTTGGACGGCGCCGAGGATTGATTGTGCTGGAGTCAACACGCTATCTATACGATGTGTTAGTCCACTAGGTGAAGTATTACGGAGCAGTTGAGGGAGACGATACCTGACATGACCATGCATACACCAAGCACAGCAAGAACAGTAATTGCGCGTTTGGCAGCAGAGCTATTCGCCAACCACCGTTTAACGTATCCGTTAAATCCGACTGTATCATCCATCTTACCATCCCTCCAGTCATCTTCAAGCTTAGCTTTAGCATCACGCCAATCAAGATGCACCTAATTCGATCACCATTAGCTACCAATATAGCCATATGCGCACTTTCGCCCTGTTCAAGGAGTAACGTAGCTCACATGTCTCCGAATGATTGATAGTAATGCAAAGGATCCTCCTTCTCCATTATCATTTGCACAAAGCACGATACCAACATACTTGATGGTAGCAATGAGCAACAAAGCCCAAATGATAAGTGACAAAACACCAATCAAATCAATCAGAACCGGCTGGGTAGAAAACGTTGCTGAGAAGACGTATAGAGGACTCGTGCCGATATCTCCGTATATAGCGCCAATCGACTGATAGGCTAGCCTGAGGTACAAATTAGCATAAGCATGGCAACATGACGTTACACCAGCATGTATTCAGGGATGTTTCACGAACCATAGAGAAGCCCAGCCATGCTGTTGCTAATATCAGAAAAGGATAATTAGTTACCATTTTGACACATTGATCGACCGGGGTTAGAAGGGCCGCGGCGTAGATGGTGCCAGTTGACTTTTCAACGGCACTACATCCATGTTTGGTTGGGTTTCAATTGGTGTCTCACCGGAACATGTGAATGGTGTTCTAGAAGAGTGCCGCTATCACTTTCTCTGACACAGGTGTAAAGGAGGCTATTTGAATGTGATCCGTTACTGTCGTAGTCGGGGTGGAGCGAAATGCCCGAGCCGATCAGCACGGATGCACTGACGGGGGTGTATTCAATGCCCTGTTCGATGGTATGGTCGTCTGGAGTTACGTGAGTGGAGCGTATACTATGTGAGTCGTCTTCATCTTTGTCGACGGGGACGTAGCCTTCTGCCATATTCCTAATCGCATTGCGGTGCTTGTGACTTGTTCGAGGTTGGTTGGTTTAAAGGCGATAAGGGTGCTGGATATTTATTCTGACCTCGCTTTTCCGATGGACCGAAATTGGCTGAATAATCCAGGGGTTTTAAAACTTAACCAATGAACTGTGCTAGAATTAAGGTTTACCGGGCGGAAGCGCTTACTAACTTTACACTTTATCGGAGATCTTAAACTTTATTGGTTCGAGGTAATGCGCCTTACCCCTGAATGTTGCGTAAAAAAACGGATTGACATTTTATATTGAGACGGGTATGTCAGCTTTGAAGCAGTGACCAAGAAAAGACAAATGTAGAGATTTGAGGACCCAAGTAAGACGCTAGAAGATAAAACGATTTCCCCAGCACGTTTATAAATGTTCGTAATTGGCCGAAAGACAGCTCCTCTGAATTACCCAGACCAAAAGATTTAGCGAGTGTGAGTGAGTACAAAAATATCTGGCGTAAAAAGTATTATCGGTAGTACCGGCTGGGGTTTGGGTTAGGGTTCACTGGACCACCCGGCTGCTGGGGGTGATAAGCTTGGAATCCCGAGGGAACTCCAGGAGCAGACGGCGTCGGCGCGGGGTAGCTTGGGTAAGGAGGTTGCGGGGAAGTGGATTGTGGGATTGAAGGGGGCTGGTGGGTTGGGGGCGGGCCATGTTGTGGTTGTTGCTGCTGCGACTGGTCTTGTGGCATGGGATATTGGGGGTTAGAACCAGGAGGGGCACTCTGGACAGTTTGGTTGTTGAAGTCAGGCGCGGGTGCGGATGTACCGCCCGGTGGTGGGTAGGCGACGGGTTGTTGTGGGTGTGGATAATGCTGCGGGTGAGTTGCAGAAGGCTGGGATTCATGCATAGGTGGATGGTAAGAGTGTCGGGCATTAGGGTTGGTTGATGTTTGAGGAGAGTCGTATGCCGATGTACTGAGTTCCTGTGGCTGGTCTAACTTGGTCTGTATCGTATACTGTGTCTGTGGGTTGCTGTAGGCATCTTGGCCCTGCTGGCCGGGAACAGGTGTATGTTTTCTATTCTCAGGAGAAGCGGCTGACGGGTATGGCGGGCCAGATTGCTCAGCGCCGGCGCCATAGTATGCTGAAGGGTCATTAGATGGTAGCGCATTTTGAGCTCCTATAAACATGGTCAGCCCAGGCTCTATGGCTTCAAATTTGAAAGGCTGCATTTCCTTACCTGGACGCGGAGTAAAGTACCGCTGGTCAGGCTGGTGTGGGCCAGGACCAGGAGGGTACTGCTGTACCCCGGAAGGTGGGTACGCATAGGCAGCTTGAGGCGGCGGACGACCAAATTGCGGCTGACCAGGATGTGCCATTGAAGATTCAAGCAAAGCTTCGTAATCCCGACGAGCTTTGATGAACTTTTCATTCAATTGCGTAAAGTCATCTATTCACATTAGTTCGGTGCCCCCCTCATATCGTAAGAAACCCAAACTACATACCTTTCTTCTTGGAGTATTTGCCGATCAATTCTATCAGCTTCGGTCGAATGGCTAGAGTAGAATGGTAGAGGGTGTTAATCTCCTCGTTCTCCTGCACGTTTAGTTCCGAATTACTCGTGCTGAGAAGGGCCAGCAATTTTTCGACATTCTTGATCTCTGCAAACACCTCTGCTTCCATCTGCGCTTCCCGCTGCAGTTCTTCCTGCGTGGGATCCGAGAGCTTCTCGACATAGTTTAGAGGGAAGATACCGGTCTGGCCGCGCAGAGAACCTTTCCACCAATCCTTGTACACCGATTCCAGAACAGCGATGACATCGCCCTTTCGGAACTGAAGCTCGCCTGGCTCCGAGGGCTGGAAGTCGTATAATGCTCGAACACGAGAGACGGTGGCTGCCGTGGTACCTGATGCAATCGCCGTAGGTTGGGATGTAGATGCAGTATTGGACCCTTCTGCAGCAGACGCTTGCTGGGAGGACTCGCTGTTTGATGGCTGCTGTTCGGTGGCGGGCTGTTTATCCTTGACGGACAGCGCAAGGGCCATCTGCAGCTCTTCTTCCTCCTTTAGTCTGTCCAACTCTGTTATCTCCCGCTTGGTCGGTTTGGACGGGGGTTGAAGGTTTGGGTCTGCGGCCCGTTAGCCCGGAAACCAATCGGAGGTCACATTTTTCAAAGAGGCCGATGCATATGCTTACTCTGAGACTTGAGCTTAAGGTAGGCTTGTTCCATGATCCCTAGGTCGGGATTACTAGAGAACATCTCCGTCCATTGCTCTATGTGTTCTAGTATCTTCGACTTTACTTGTTGATGGGTGTTCTATAACCATCCGTTAGCGAGACCACTTAACGGTATTCGGGGGACACGCTTACCCTATCATTTGCAAGTCGTAGAAGCGCATCTGTAAAGCTCTTAGAGGCCAGCTCCTGGTATACCTTCTGTCCGCAGTTCTGTGACAAGGCGTTCGCAAGCTATACCGGCGTCAGTAACTGTTAGATAGACCATGACACTCCCAGCTGCATCCAACGTACCTCAAGCGTGTAAAGCTGAACATTCGCATTTCGATGTGCCAGTCTTCGTATCAATGCAGCAACAGCATCTTTCGCTCTGCATCACGTCAGTAAGCTCCACCCTCCATCTCAATCTATTAATAGCGGGCGATCATCCTTACCCAGAGCTATCCGACGACACTTTATCACAAACATCCTACCAGGATTTATCCGTTAGCTACCACCACCACACGAACATCCCAGTATCACCCGTGGGCCAGGGCATAACGTACAAGAATATATTCCCAGTTCTCCGAAGTCAGATTCTCATCCGTCGCCTTAGCTACAGTAGCAAACAGCAGTTAGCATCAGTCGTCAGCTGCGTAGAACGATGGAAAAGGCGCATGAGCCGTACCGACAGCATCATCAAACGCATTCTGCTGCACACGAAACATGTCGAAAAACAGCTCCGTACAGCACCTTCTTCGGTCTTCGCTTATTCGTCCTCGTTCGTTCGTGGATAGGTACGGTCGTATGTAAGGTACGGCGCCAAACCCCGCACAGGCAGCCAGATATCTAGTCTAGCAAAGCTGTAAGGTATGCTGTGCGCACAAAGGGCCAGTAGTGTACACCTGAAGCGAGAACCTGCGCCGGACGAGTGGTGGTATATGTATATCTTCCGAAGCCGTTTGAGGGGAGTCCGGCGTGCGTGCGTAAGGGATGTTGGAGATGCTGCCTTGGATCGTGTTTCCTGGCTTTGGCCTTTGCTTTTGCTTTGCGTCAAGGAAAGGCCGGCGGATGCGGCTTCGATTACGTCAGCGCAGGGCTGAGCGCGTTTTTCGTGGCGCGGCATAATTACGTAATACGTGGCTTAAGTGGATCTTACGTAAGCAGATGGCTCTGAGCAGGGCAAAACAAGTTCTATTGATGGCATCTATTATTAGGGTAGCAGGTGAGTCGAAGACGAAGACGAAGAAGAGGAATAGATGTAGATAGATAATGGCACACTAGGATAAGACGAGTACAGTAGCTAAATGGATAGCCAGTGGATAGCGGGGAAGACAAAAGCCAGGGAGAAGCAGAAAGGGAGGAGGAAACGAAGCAAGCAGGAAGGAAATTCGTCGCTGATATTTTTGGTTTAAAAGGAACATATCGGATGGACATAACATGAAGGAAAAACCCAGCTTCTTTTAACGTGGCAGGTAAGCGAGGAAGCAGATCAAGATCAGGCCAGCAGAAAGAGCAGTGGTGAAAACATAAAAACAAGAAGAAATGCCGTAACTAGGTTTGGTGCGTTGAAAACGAAGAAAAAGGGGGGAGGAAAGGAAAAGATCACATCTCATATTCATGTCACATATAACTTATATTTCGCAGTTCGCAGTTCGCAGGGCAGGTAAAAAGCAAGGCAGGACATATCGCGTGGAAGAAAAGGGGGGAAACAGAGGAGAAGTAGCTGTTGCTTGTTGCTTCGCTTGCTTTGGGTTGGGTTGCATTGTGTTTTTGGTCATGGGGAGGTCAAGTCGAGTCATCGTCTCATATCTTCTGGCCCGGATGCACCATAGCATACCACCTATCCACCTATCCATTCCCAGAGGCGTAAAAAACAAGCAAGAAAAAAAAAACGAGAAAGAAAAGGGAAAACATGATGGGGGAGAGAAAACCGATCTATCTGAACCGAATAACCTGGAGAAAGCAAGCAAAGAAGTCATGAAGAAGTTGAAAGCGGGAGAAGAAGTCTGTGGGTATCGCGGAGTGGAGTTGAGAGGAGAAGACAGTGCATGGAGTATAGTATACGGTGTAAGAGATGCCAGGAGTAAATGAGTAGATGGGAGAAGGTAGAAGCGGGATAAAGGTAAAGGCGAAGTAAAAAAAGGGGGGGGAATAGAAGAAGAATAAAGGTCAAACGTGAGAAGTAGTGATGGCATATAGTATGTTGTCTCATACTATGCGGCGGCGTCTAAGCGCCGCCTTTCTGCGCCTTTTCTTGCGCTCTATTTTGGCGCGCGGCCTTAACAAGGGGCGCTAGACTAGTGAGTGGTTCACAGTAGCCCATGAAAGGATGCTATACAAACTGTTAGTAACGCACTATACGGACAAAATCACTAAAACAAAGAGGCAAAGAGGATCCTACCTTGAGCAAATCATGCGCTGAAGCCCGTTTCTCTGCATCCACTTTCAGCGCCATGCCCAAGAACTCCCTGAAGACAGGCGAGAGGTTCTGCTCGTCTTTGATGGCAGGAGTTCCATTTGTGGCAATCAGGTAGAGTGCTCTGAGAGGCGACTCGGTGAGATACGGTGGTTCACCTTCGATCATCTCGATGGCCATGATGCCCAGAGACCAGATGTCGACTTTCCTACCGTAGTCTTTGCGAGTGACTACTTCGGGAGCCATCCAGTAAGGCGTTCCGACCATTGTGTTACGTTTGTGGTGGGCGTCGTTTATTTGTGCACAGAAACCGAAGTCGGCTAAGAAAACGTTAGAAATCTAGCTTTTTGTGACAGTTAAAAAAAAAAAAAAAAATNCAAGGGGACTAACTTAGTTTGATATTGCCTTCGAGGGAGAGAAGGATGTTATCTGATTTGATGTCACGGTGAATGACGCCCTTTGAATGCAGATGCTGGAGACCATGCAGGACCTAGACAGAAGAGTTAGATGTTTGTATACCGAGGAAGCTAAGAGATGTTAGGGAAAAGGCGACCTACCTCCCGACAAACGGCAGCGATCTGCCCCTCGGTCATGATGTTAAAAGTAACCACGTCCGTCAAGCTGCCTCCCTCCATGTACTCCATGACGACCCAGAGGTCTCCGCCGTGCAGGAACGAATCCATGTAATTGACGATGTTCTTGTGTTTGCTCTCCTTCATGACCAAGATCTCATTGATGATAAGGTCCTTCTTGGGCTGCAATTCAAGGTTCATCTGCTTGATGGCTACGCAGTGATTTGTGCCGATCTCGTAGGCAGTGTAAACACCACCAGACGCTCCTTGGCCGATTTTGTGGAGGTTGCGATATTTGCGGGTGGGATCGCCAGTGGTGCAGATGGTGTTGAGACGGGCGCGGATGTCGATCGTGGGGGTAGGGGGCTGGCGGGGGCGGACACGCGGACGAGCGGAGGCCCCGGGGGGAAGTGGCATTTGTTGTTGTTGTTGTTGCGGATGGATCTGGGCTGACCCTGGCACAGGGGCGTGTGCTGGAACTGGGACAGGGGCTGGAACAACTCGGGGACCCTGGGCGTGTTGTAGGGGATAGTTCTGGGATTGGATTTGGGGGTAATTCCCATCCGGAGCCGTGTAGTCGATAGGAGATGGCTCATTCATTTGTTGTTGTTGTTGAGCCTGCTGCTGCTGTCTCATGCTCCTGGACCGCTCGATCTGCTTGTTGGTAATGGCTTGCTGAGCAGCGGTAATGGCCTGCTCCTGCATCTGCTGGTAGACAGCGGGTGAAGTAATTGCCGTAGAAGGCTTTCGAGACAAACCACCGGGACTAATCCCGCCGTTGGCATTGGAATTCGAGCGACTCCTAGCCGTGGCTGGTGGGGTAGTTGTCGGAGTGGGAGTCGATTGCAACGGAGCAGACTCCGGTATGGTCTGAACGCCAAAGGGGAGAGAAGAGGCGCCAGCACTGGTAGGAGTGATCAATGGCTGTGGCGGTGGTCTAGGAGCCTTTGGAGCTGCTCGATTGGGGACCCATCCGGATGCTGGAGCGGACGGAGCCGAGATAGGCGTAGATGATGACGGAGCAGACGACGAAGTTGGAGGAGCAGGTGGCGGTGGACTGGCCAGGGGGGTCTGTCGAGGAATGGGAGGCGGTGCGCGAGGATTCTCAAAGCTTCCTTCGTGGTTCTGCGGGAACCTCGGAGATGTGATACCAGGACTGGTAGCGAGAGGAGTGACCTGCTCATGGTGGTGATGATAGTGGTCTGCGAGTCTAGCGTTATCAAACTTGTGCCAGACGCCTTCGTCATCACGGCCAGCAGCGTTCTTTTCATAGAACTTCATGATATCAACCATTGTCTGTGGATGCTGTTCTTGTTCTTTCTTTGAGATGCCGGACTCCTGCAGCATGCGTTGCCAGTCTTTTGGTAGACCCTGAGAAGATTAGCATATGAAGTGAAGTTAACAGGACAGTGAAGTAGACAGTGAAGTAGATGGGAAGTGAAGTGGGATAGAACAGTGAAGGAGAAAGGTGACGCGAGCAAGAGACATACAGTGAACTGTCCAGTCTGGTTGTCAAAGCCAACGTGAGTGACGTGCACCGGGTTCTCTGGCGCAGAGATCTTGATATTCCTCGGCGAGCCCAGCATGCTGTTGACGAAGTTGCTGAAGCCGGTCTTCTTCCTGCTCAGCGAGAGCCTGCTGCCCCCTCCCCCTCCTCCTCCGCCGCCGCTCCCGCTGCCAGTAGTACTGCTGTGCACATTGTTAGGATTGGCGGGTGAGCTCGACGCTTCGTCTGAGTGCCGATTGAGCGGAATCGAGGTAGCAATACCCGCCCCGGGGGTGGTGGCGGGAGAGGGTCCAAACCCAGCGGAGTTGTTGAGGCTAGGCGAGACCTCCGGACTGGATCTGTAGCTGTGCGGCATGGGGGGCCGGCTGGGCACCATCATTTCTTCTGTCATCTCGTTGCCGCTGTTGTTGGCGTTGCTGTGAGATGTCGAGGGAATGTCATCCTCTTCGCCCGTAGAACTCGAGACTCTCCCGTTCTGCATTATCTGTGTGTTGTTGTTGTTGTTGCTGATGATGGTGTTGTTGATGTTCGGCGTGTGCGTGTTGTTCTGGACCAACTGTAAGCGCCCAAAGTCGACGCCGTTGACCGGACTGGGCCCAGGAGGACCACCACCACCACCAGGACCACCACCACTGACGAGACCGCCCGCCAGCTGGTCCACGGAGGCCGACGAGGAGGCAAAGTTACTCGAGCGTGTGCGGGAGTGGTCTCTCTCGCGGGCCTGGTCGCGCTCCCGCTCTCTGTCGGAGTAGGAGCGCGGGTAGACGGGGGCGGAGGGATGGCGCTGCAGCGAGGTCGAGGAGTGCTTCTTCCTGACGGACCATGGCGAGGTGAGGTTGCTGAGAGAGGAGAGCGGGCTGGAAGACGACGAGGAGGAGGACTGCTGGAGGAAGCTGGGCGGCTGCTTGTGTAGTTTCGAGGATGGGCGGTGCGGTTTTGGCGATGGCTCGGAGTCCATCGTGAAGGCGTGAGGCCGGGCGGAGGTCGAAGTTGGCCTGCAGGATTGGAGGTTTTTTTGGGCGAGCTTTGGGTGGAAGCTCTGAGCGTTCAAACACGTCGCAGGCAGGGAGAAAACTGCGCAGAAGGGAGTGAACAGAAGAAGAAGAAGACAAGAAGAGAAGAAGAAGAAGAAGAAGAGCAGAGACAAGAGTGAAGATTAAAAAGAGCCCAGGCGGAGGAAGAAGAAGAAGAAGAAGAGAAGAAGAAGCAAGCCAGAAGAGCCAAAGCAAGCAAATTGCAGGAGGAGAACGCAGAAGAGAGGGGACGGGGGGGCCAAGGCGGTATCGTCTTGTCATGACGCGTACTCCACAGGCCCAGAACAGCAGGTGAGAGCTAAGAAGAGCTAAGAAGAGCCAGACCGAGCGAGACCGTCATGTACGGTAAGTGACAGACGGGTACAGGGTCGGACCAGAAGTGACCGCCCAAAAGGGCCCAAAAAGGCCTAAAAGGGCCCAAGAGTTAGTTAGTTACACCTAAAATAAGTTACGCTTAAGTTTTGTATTTTTTTATTTTTTTTTTATTTTTATTTTATTATTTTATTTTATTTTGGCTTTTTGTTTGCGTTTAATTACCCCGGTTAATTACATTAAATTACATTAACAGTGAAGAAAGACAGTGAAGAGAAGATAGTAAAAGTGAAGAAGAGAAGAGAAGAGAGAGTAAGAGGAGAGAGTAAGAGGAGAGAGTAAGAGGAGTGAGTAGTGAACAAGTAGGAGTGAGTGGGTAAGAAGGGGAGACAGTGAAGAAGGACCAGTAAGTAAGTAGAGATCTGCTACTACTAGTAGAGTGACTGTTGATCACCAGTAAAGAGAAGAGAAGAAGAGAAGAGAAGAGACTGCTTTCTGGAAGACTCGGCCCTTGACTCCTCACATTCTCACTCTCACTCTTATTCTATGTATTATTTACTCCGTACTTATTATCTATTGCTGTCTGTTTCATCTGCTGTTAATGAGACAGCCACTTAATAGATAGATAGATAGTATCATAGAAGGAAGATAGTCCAGACCTACTTATGATAGTAACAGCAGGAAAAGCAGCCTATCCTATTATCCTCTTCCTCTACTCTCATCCCAATCATCTTCCCCCCCTCTTCGACTCCCTTTCTATCATCTTTTGCCCTGCTTTTTTTTTTGCTGTCTTCGCTTCGTCGCTTCGTCGCTTCTACCTGCTGCTGACTAAGCTCTTGCAACGTCGCCTCAGCGCCAACTTCGACTTTTGACTTCCCGAACCAGAAACATCTTCAGACCGTCCAAACCGTCAAGCCAACCCGCCAACCGCCCTTCTCCCGTCCTGCAGAGGAGAAGCCCGCTGTCCTGTCTGAATTGTCTCTTGTGAATGCGTTGGTAGTGCCGCTCGACGATGGAGTGATCTTCTCGCCTGCTCAGCCCGTCTTTTCTCCTGCTCCCTGCTGCACACGACCTACTCGATAACCACCCTGTAAGCGTCCCCCTCCCCGGCCATTGACGACCATTGAAGGCCATTGAAGGCCAGAGCTACCACTGACAGTCACTCCCAGAACGGTACGGATACTACGAAGCTCGCTCGTCTCGCCATGTTGTCTTCTCAGACCCAGAAGACCGGCATGATCGTCAACGGCGCCCCCAAGTCTCGCGCAGAGGAGCTCATGGCCCAACATGCCCAGGAGGCTGCCCAGGGGCCCACGGTAGAGGATGTCGTCGACGAAGAGGACATCCTTCACCCGCCTCCCTCCTCCTCCTCCGCCACCGCCGCCGCTGCTGCTCCTGCTAAATCTCCTGCTGCTGCTGCTGCTGCTGCTGCTGCCCTCGACGTCCAGTCTGAGGAGTCCTTCCCGGCTCTCGGCGGTCCCAAGGCCTCCTTTCGTCCCTCTGCCGTCCCTGTGGCTTGGGGAGGCAGCAAACCACAGCCTTCTCCCGCCGGTACTGCTGCTGGTGCCACTTCTACTGCTCCAGCTCCAGCTCCTGTTCCTGCACCGGCTCCGGCCTCGTCCACCCCAAGACAGCTCACCATTCCAGGCAAACATGTGGACCAATTCCGCTTCGATTCCTCCCAGATGCTGCCTCGCTCGGAGCTCAAGAAGCCTGTGTCTGACATCCTGAGAGATATCAGCAAAAAGTCCAAGGTCAGACTCGAGGTCAGGGAGGGTGCTGGTGGTGTCTACATCTTCGAGGGCACAGGCAACGTTGATGCTGTCAGGCAGGCCTTGAAGGAGGTTGCCCAGCAGGTCGGCAGCACGGTAAGCCATTTCTCCATCTAACCCAATCGTTTTCTTTTCTTCTATTTTCTCTCTCTCTATATATATATTACAAGTGTTAACTGTTGTAGAAATCCGTCAAGGTCCCGGTGCCGGCTTCGGCCAGACCACACATCATTGGCCGTCAAGGAGCCGTCATCCAAGGCATCCTCGACCGCACCGGAGCCCGCATCGACGTCCCTAAGCCAGACGAGTCCAAACCGCTTGACGACGATGACGAGGACAACACAATTGAAATCACCATTGAAGGTGATGCCCTCGCTGCAGAGATGGCCCGCCGAGAGATCGAGGCCCGTGTCAAGGAACGCACCTCCAACATCAGCCTCCGTCTCAAGACCGTGGCCCCGGAACTCTTCCCCTTCATTGCCGGTCCGCACAACCAGTCCATCAACAGGCTGGAGGAGCTCACCAAGACCCAGATCCGTGTGCCCAAGTACCACACCTGGGGCCACCGTCCCCCTCCACAGGAGCCTGCCTCGACCTCAGGACCGGTTCTCTACACTCCCGACCCAGACCAGCACATCATCATCGTCGGTGAACGACAGGCTGCTCAGGAGGCCCGCTCCCAGATCGAGCGCCGAGCCCAACTGCTGCAAAACCGTATCACCCTCCGTCAGCTCGCAATCAACCGTGGACAGCACCAATTCATCGTCGGTGACAAGGGTGACTCCCTGCATGACTTTTTGGCCTCCACCGGATGTGCCATCGTCCTGCCCCCGCCATCAGACGATACCGAGTTCCTCACCATCACAGGCCCTGCAGAGAGCATCGAGGCTGGTGTCAACCGTGCCATGGACCTGGCTACCAGCATGCAGATGGCCAACATTGACGTCTCGCGCCAGCACCCCAATGCCCCCTGTGGCCCGGATGTCCATGCTCGTGCTCTGACGGCCTATCTCCAGCACCGACGGGTCATCGAACATCTCGAAAAGACGCATGATTCCCACATCGTCCTGCCTCTCGAAACGGCTAGCTCCTCCAACGCTCCGATCACCTGGGAGGTCTACTCGCGGAACGGCAAAAATACGATTCTGGCCCGGTCTGATATCATGAACCTGATCCAGGCCCTTCCCCCGTCAAAGCTGGCCACCGTGCCCGTCGATCCTTACCTGCACGGATACCTCCGCTCGCGTGGCCTGCCCCAGCTCAAGGAACAGTTTGGCGTGCACCTGGTTGTTCCTGAAACCGTTGGTCCACCAGCATCCGATAGGCCGGTCAACCTTGTTCTCGCCTACGAAGGCCCAGAAGAAGTCACCGCCCAGAGCCCCTGTCTCAAACGCCGCCCCTCAAGCGAGGACGCCGCCGTTTTCCAGAAGGCCCTGCGTGAAGCGACGGAGTATTTGCACAAGGTCCTAGGTGACCCCAAGGACGTCTCTTCCCAGTCTGTCCCCATCCCGCCCAAATACCATGACAGACTGCGCCGTTTCGTCGCCCAGGACCAAGCCAGCTACGGCGAGACGCATATACCCGTCAGTCTCGCCTTTGCTGCCGACAACGCCAACAACGCCTCCATCCGTGGCCGTTCCGCTGACGTAGCTAACCTGGTAGCTAAGCTAGCCACCTTCGTAGCTGACCAGGAACGTGATGACCGTGAACGCAACCACGTAACTACATTCGACTTCCCCCAGAAATACGCAAACTTCCTCATCGGCAAACGAGGCGAAAACATCAACAAGCTGCGTGAAGAATTTGACGTAGATATCAAAGTCGAAAACGGCAAGGTAGACATCAAGGGACCACCCGCTAAGGCCGCAGCTGCAAAGACTCGTATTCTCGCGCTTGCAAAGAAACTCGAAGACGAAGCTACGTATGTTCTTAAGATTGCTCCGCAGTATCATCGTGACCTTATCGGTCAGAAGGGAAGCCAGGTCAACCGTCTCCAGGAACGCTACAACGTTCGTGTTCAGTTCCCTCGTGCCAACAACAATGTTCCAGATGACGTTTCCATAGCCGATACAAGCGAGGCTGCTGGCCCTACCAATGGCAACAGTAATGCTCGTTCTCGTGCCCCCCAAGCGGCTGATGAAGTCATTATCCGCGGGCCCAAGAAGGGCGCCGACAGCACCCGTGATGAAATCCTCTCGCTCTATCAATGGCTCGTAGACCACTCCCATTCAGCGGTTGTCTCGGTTGCTCGCGACCAGATACCGTCTCTCATTGGCCAGCGAGGACGAGAAATGGATAAATTCCGTGCTGAAACGGGTGCACAAATTGATATTCCTGGACCAGAGACCGGAGAGGGCGAGGCCGGAGCTAGAGTTGAGATTCGTCTCAAGGGGACAAAGAAGCAGGTTGACGATGCGAAGAAACTGCTTCTTGCTAGGGCCAGGGACTTTGATGAGACCATTACTCGTACCGTTGAGGTTGATAAGAAGTATCATAAGGCTCTCATCGGTGCTGGTGGTACGTACCCTTATTCGCAAACCCCCCCCCCCTTTCACTATGATTCAAAAACTATTTGCTAACAAAAACTAATACTAGGCGCTCACATCCGTAAACTAATCGTGGAATGCGGCGGGCCAGACGACAGCACTGCATCCCGCGTAGTCAAGTTCCCACGAGCTGACAGTGATGAAACCACCATCAAACTCGAAGGCAAGGAGGCAGTAGTCACCAGCCTGATCAATGCAATCGAAGAGTTCGTCCGCCAGAAGGAGGACCAAGTGACCATCTCCATTGAAGTCCCTCAATCCCAACACCGCCATCTCATCGGCCGAGGAGGCGAAACCCGCCGCCAACTCGAATCCCAGTTCAACGTGGTTCTGGACGTGCCCAAACAGGGCTCGAACCGGACCGATGTGAAGATCAAGGGTCCCTCTGCGGCCGCTGAACAAGCTAAAACACACATCGAAACCATGCTCAGGGATCAGCAAGGTGAAACCGTTGAAGTCCCAGTACACTTGCACCATGTGATATCTGACAACGGCGCGTTTTTCCGCCAACTGCGGAATAACCATCAGGTCACCGTTGACCATGCAGGGCACAAAGTGCCTGCCAAACCTTCCCCTGCAGCCGTTGAGTCGCGCGCAGACTCAACTTCCCTCCCACTCATCACTGACGCAGACGACTCCACCCCCGACACATTCTCCTGGAAAATCGTCGAGCCAGCCAGTCCACCTTCTGACTCAGCTTCAACCACTATCCCCTGGGTTCTCTCCGGTTCTCCCGAGAACGTAACCAAGGCTAAAGCGCTGCTTACCGCCGCTATAGCCTCGGCCGCTCAGCCATGCTGCACGGGTTACTTGATCCTGCCCGACCCCAAGACCTACCGCTTCGTCGTGGGTACGGGCGGTTCTCAAATCAACGCCATCCGCTCCAAGACCGGATGCAGGATCAACGTCCCCAAGGGCCAGGCTGGCGGAGAAGCGATTGAAGTCAAGGGCTCGAGGGACAACGTCGAGCTCGCGCGGGAGATGATTCTTGATGCTGTCAAGGCCGGACTTGCGGGCCCGGGATCGAGGAGGTAGATATTATAGCGCTCTTCCGAACATTGGGTTCCGTTGGTTTAGCATTTATCTAAAGCATTCATGTGTTCAATTCTTCTATCTATATCTATATATATATATATCTTGCCAAAGTTGATTTTGGAATTTGACTAACAAACAGTGTAACTGGTTGGTTGGACAAAAGGAGTGAAGAACAACAGATTGATTGACTGACGACAGATTTAAAAAAAGAGATAGCACAAAAAAAACAAGCAAAGCGCTAGAAATTACACCTAACTATTTTATTTTCATCTTTAATCCATTTTTATCATCTCTTTTCAATGTTCAATTCAATATTGATATCCTTCGTCTCTGCAGCAAAACAGCAGCACGTGACCGTCGACCATCGAAAGTCCAAAAGAGGAAAAAAACGACTTCAACTTCGACTTTGATCGAGTTTCAACGTGAATATCGAAATAATCAACTTGCACAGATGGCCATGCGCGGGTGTAGATGACGTACTTGATGAGGTTTTGCTGTCAATTGCTGCTCGTCCCATGGTTCCCTACATTGCCACGCTAACTAGTCACTAGCAGCTGTAACTAACTAGTACCTAACTAACTATCCCGCACTGCCGCAACAGCATCGCCGACTCGGCTCAGCGACGACACCAAAAGACTCGACACAGTGCGGCATCCTCATATACATGGCATAACCATCCGCGTGCATATAATGCGATAGGACGAGGATGAGCAAGATCCCCTTATTCCCGTACGGGTAGCTCGAGTTCGACGGACGCCTACCTCACTCGCTGCGCGCTGCTTTGACCGCCGAGCGAGACGAAACGAAACCCCCGCCGACTCAAAAGGTGGTTGCCGCGCCATACACAACGCTCGCAGCGTTCTGGAGCGGGTTTGATAAAGAACGCAAAGAACCAGCATGGAGGCGGACTGGGATGAGGTGTCGCGCATTGTGGTGCCGCCTCCAGGACCGCACCTGTTGCCCACCGTAGCTACGGCGATTGGATTCGACGATACGCAGGAGCTCTTATGGACGGGCAACGAGTTTGTACGTCTCTTACTTCTCCTCTTCCAATATGATCTATGCTAAATAGCAACTTAGGGTCGCGTTATCTCCTTCCATGGCCCAGAATTAACTCGATATACGTCCGTTAAAGCCCACCCGACCTCCGAAGGACCCATTCGACAACTCCTCTTCCACGACAAGGGGGTGATATCGCTATCGTCCAAAAGCGTTCATCTTGCTTCCCGCCGGGGCCTAACACAATGGCATCTCTCCGTTTCAGAAATGGTCGACCTGCGCTGCATGAGCTTCACCACGCATCCGTCCCGTCTCATCGTCGCGGGATGTCAAGCGACGATGCTCATTGTAGATCTGGACAAAGGCACCGTGGTGGAGAAAATACCTGCCGAAGCAAACTATACCATCATGAAGAAATCTCGACATCTCTGCGCTGCCACGGACGCAGGGTCGGTTCACGTCCTCAGCTTGACGGACTATAGTCTGCTGAAGAGCTGGAAGGCCCATGGTGCGGTTATCAATGATATGGATGCCCGCAACGACTTTCTCGTCACATGCGGCTTTTCCGTACGGCATATTGGAACGCCCATTGTCGACCCTCTTGCAAACGTGTACGACCTGAAATCACTCACCCCGTTATCCCCTGTCCCCTTTCACGCCGGAGCAGCGTATGTGCGTATGCATCCCAGACTACAAACAACAAGCTTCATCGCCTCTCAGTCCGGCCAACTACAAGTCGTCGACCTCATGAATCCGAATTCCATCAGCCTTCGCCAGGCGAATGTCAGCTTCATGCTGGGCATGGAGATTTCACCGTCCGGCGAAGCCCTGGCCATCAATGATGCGGAGTGCTCAGTCCATCTCTGGGGATCTCCTGCAAAAATCCACTTCAATGAAATGAGCAAGGAAACTGAATTCCCTGACGTCACTCCCCGACCACCAATGCTAGATTGGTCCGCAGATACCCCATTGAATGTGATTGGTATGCCATATTATCATGACCGCCTTCTTTCAGCCTGGCCCAGCCATCTTGTTTTCGAGGTAGGAAGTATTCCTAAACAGGTGGATCCGGCCATTATCCCCTACTTGCACCCAAGCGATATGGGTCAATATGCCCCGAACCCACGGAAGACGCATAGATATCAGGTCGAGAATACCCGGTGTCAACCCACCACTGAGACTGCACTTGCAGCTCCCAAATTCCTAAGTGAAAAGGCCAGAGCACATACCAAGTCGAAGTCCCTTGGTGATAAAGAGCCCTTGGATGACTTAGACGGTTTAAAGATCAACGGGGAAGCGGAAAACGATCCTCTGTTGAAATATAGTAATGTAGAAATCAAATATAGCAAGTTTGGCGTCGATGATTTTGATTTCAGGTAAGTTACCCCCATTTGCACTGCTTACTCGCAGCTGTACTAATCCCTTATAACTAGGTATTACAACAAGACAAACTTCTCCGGTCTAGAAACACACATCTCCAACTCATTCACAAATGCACTCCTCCAGCTATTTAAATTCATCCCACTCGCCAAAAACCTCACCCTTCATCATGCTGCAACAAACTGCATCTACGAAAACTGTCTTCTCTGTGAGATGGGATTTCTCTTCGACATGCTAGACAAAGCAAACGGCCAAAGCTGTCAAGCAACAAACTTACTCAAAACGTTCAGCGGGTTCAGAGAGGCAGCTAACCTCGGCCTCTTGGAAGAAAATCTCAGCAACAAGTCCCTTGCTTCCACCATCCAATCCGTCAACCGGTTCTTCTTAAATCAGATATCCAACGACTACAGACTTCTATACCCGGGCTCCGATCAACTAGATCAAGTACTTGCCACTTCAGCCATAGAGTCAGTCCGATGCATGTACTGCCGTAACGAAATTGTTCGCGCAGGCAACACCTTCGTAAGCGAACTGATATACCCAGCCGTCGACATCAAGCAAGCAGCACGTAACCCAGCATGCCGATTCTCCAACATTCTTCGCGCTAGTATTGAGCGTGAAGCCCAAAACCGCGGCTGGTGCAGCACCTGCAGACGATACCAACAAGTCGCCATTCGGAAAACAGTTGAGAGAATGCCAATGGTCCTCATGATTAATGCGGCTATTAATAATCCCGTCTGCAGACAGTTCTGGTCCATTCCCGGCTGGCTGCCTGAGGAAGTCGGGATTATCACCGACGGTAAACAGATGCGATGTTTTGAAGGAGCAGAGCTTCAAGCGCAGAAACGTGAAAAGACGCCTAACTTGCTGGTATATCAGCTTGTTGGTTTAGTTGCTGAGATTGATGTTGTAGAGCAAAAGAAGCCTCATCTAGTGTCTTTCATTGATGTGGCTATCTCTGCGACCACACCAACAGAGGAGAGCAAATGGCATCTCTTCAACGACTTCCTTGTCACTGAAGTTGATAAGAATGAGGTGTTATCATTCAAGCAACCGTGGAAGCAACCGTGTGTGCTCTCCTACCAAATATCAACTGCCAGACACGGGGTTGATGACTCGTGGAAGAACGCCTTGGACACCACTCTACTTTTCTACGAGTGGTCTATGAAGTGAGTTTACCCAGGAGTTTATTTACTTGCCACCTGATTCACTAACATTATATGTTCTAGTAACTGTCGCCCAATCGAGTCGTGTCAGGTGTTGAAACCAGATGAGAAACCTACTCCAGGAACTGCCATTGCTCTGGACACTGAATTCGTAGACTTGGAAAAGGCAGAAATCGAAGTCAAAGCCGACGGAACCCACGAGATGATTCGACCCAGCAAGAGTGGTCTCGCTCGTGTCTCCGTTATTCGGGGTAACGGTACCCTCGAAAGTTCCCCCTTCATCGACGATTATATCACCATCAAAGACCCCATTGTCGACTATGTCACTCAATACTCGGGCATCAAACCTGGAGACTTAGACCCACGAACAAGTGCACACAACCTCGTTCCGCTTAAGGTAGCGTATAAGAAGCTATGGCTACTACTTAACCTAGGCTGCGTCTTCGTCGGCCACGGACTGGCGTCTGATTTCCGGAAAATCAACATTCAAGTCCCCAAGGCCCAAACAATCGATACCCAATACCTGTTTTTCCACCCCTCTAAAAATCGCCGACTGAGTCTCCGATATCTTGCCTGGGCTGTCTTTAAAGAATACATCCAGGAAGAAAACCCTAGTCCCTCCCCAAAGACATCAGCAGCAACCCCTGACATCCCCACATCAAACCCAACTTCAACTCCCGCCACTTCCACCGCTGAAGGCCATGATTCCATCGAAGACGCACGTATGGCCCTGCGACTATGGAAGAAATTCCAAGAATATGAAGATGCAGGCATTGTCAATCAGATGCTTGAAGAAATCTTCCGTGAAGGTGTAAAACATGGGTTCCGTCCTCCGCCCCGTCATCAACCGCAATCAGCTGGAGTCCCCGCATACCAACCCTCAAGCTCTGGGCTAGCAGTGTACAACCATAAAATGTCAGGACCGGTCACAGCAGCCTCGTTATCTTCTCCTCCAAGCGGACGGAATACGCCAGACGCAGGGCCAGGAGGCGGCGCATTGGGCACAAACGGTGGTGTAGGCGATAATCCACCGACAACTCCACGTCAGATGTTCCGACGATCTACAGCATTAACTCCGACGAGCAGCAGCTATTCGGGGGCTGTTGGAAAGTATCCCATGTTTGGAGGGAGCCCTATGCGTTAACTGACCGTACCGTCTCAGAACATATAGCCACAAGTAGTGAGTGACAACAACTGTCAGAAGCTTTTGTACTATTGAAACGGTTTATATATCTGACCATCGCCATCCATGGAGGTGGTAGAGCCATATATATTCAACAACTGCTATTTAAATATTCAATGTAGTGTTTGACAAAAAAAAATTGAAACCGACCTTTATCATCACCTTTCCGGCTATCAGTTCTTTTTATTGTATTTTGGTTCGTACTGTTTATCTCGTTTAACTTAACTGCCAGCGCCTTCCACAGACTACAGGCCATAGGTCCCCCCTTTCCT